TCCTAGGTTCAATCCTTAGAACTGAAAAAATAAACCCACATGAGATAATCCTGGTTAGAAGTAAGAATAGATATAAAGTGCTAAGCAGGGCTGTAGCTGAAAGCTGACTACTTACACTATACCAGCAGCATTAAAAATGAAGTGTAGTAGGGCATGGTGGTGCACACCTGGAATCTCAGTACTCGGGAGGCTGAGGTAGGAGGATCACTGTGGGTTCAAGGCCAGCCTGGGTTACATAGTGAGACTTTGGCTTTATTTTATAATTCTAGAATCAGGGTATACTTCATTCTATAAAATATGATAAGTGTTATGATGACCTGAAGAGTTCAGCCATGTTGCCCACACTGGCCTTGGATTCCTGGTTGTCCTCTTGCCTCAGCTCCCCTGGTGCTGGTACTATACCCACCAGGCCCAATTTAGCTAAACATCTCAGTTTCAGTTTGGGGACATTTAGTGTCAGTAGCTCCATTTTAATTTTTGGCCTTATCTGTTGGGACCCATGGCAGGAACACAGCCTAAAACAATGACCTTCTGCAATGTTTATTTAAGTACAGTATATGAAAATTATGATTTTATCCATTCTCTTAAAAAATTCTTCTTTGATACCTGATACTTCCCTACTCCACATCCCAATCCACCCTGAAACCTACTGTTTTTTTAATTTAATTTTTTTTTTGAAGTACTGGAGATTGAACTCAGGACCCTGAGCTTGCCAGGCAGGCCCTTATTCTACTGAGCGATCTCCTAAGCCCCATAAAAATTTTTTTTAAAGGTTTTTGGTGTTATTGTTCATTTTTTGTCCAGGGCCTTGGACACGCTAGGCGAGGACTCTACTGTTGAGCTACATCTCCAGCCCAAAGCTGCTGCTTTTACTCTTCAAATGCCTCTCCTGCTTTGTGTGCACTCATGTACTCCTCCCCATCTTTAAAAAAAATTTTGCTAGTGCACGTTTGCAGTACATAACGCTCACATTCATTGTGGAGAATCAATACATGTAAGTAAGGTGTCTTACTTGTCCCCAGTGTTTGCCTAAACTGGCTGATTAGGTGCCTCCCTACCCAACGCTCTTGTTGTCCATTCCCGGCTCAACAGCCACAGGGATCTTGGTACAGGGCAAGCTCTATGGTGTCTCTCTTGTGCTTGACTTCCTCCAAGAAGTTCCTGTTTCCTTTACAATACACACCAAGGTCCTCACTGTGCCCTATCAGCCCCTCAACGACCTGGTTCCATCTGTCATTGACCTGGTATGTCACTGCCTCCAGCCATGCCCAACTTTCTTTTCTTCATCTAGTAAGACCATTTGTGTCTCAGGGCCTTAAGACATGCTGTTTCCACTGCCTGGAAAAATTCTCATCTTGTTCACTCCAGAACTTCAGATCTTACCTCATCTGTGAATTTCTCAGACATATCTGATTACCCAGATATGTTCAGGTCCTGTCTTCTCCCCAGTATAACTCTTGACTCTTTTTTTGTTTGTTTTTCTTCATAACATTCATCTCATTTCCTATTACATATCTGCATTAGTGCGTCAGACTCTCCTACCCCTTTGGAAGGTCCCTGAGGGCAGGTCCCCTGTGGTGTGCTTATCTTAGTGCCCCTGACAGTCTTTTCTCTGGTGGATACATGAATAATGGATGGATGGATGGATGGATGGAGAGATGGGTGACCTGTGGTTGGATGATGGATGTGTGGCTGAATGAGTGATGTGGCTGGCGATGGTTGAAGGAGGGATGGATGGAGTAGAGGCATATTTCCTCCTGCTGACTGGGCACAACCCTGATTGGGAATCGTCAGTGTTTTCCTCTTCTCGCCAGGTCATGGCTGTGAATCCAGAAACGCCAGCCTGGATTGTCTACTTCCTAGCACTTAGCAGCCGCACCCAGCTTGCTCTAGGTAGGGAACTCCATGCAGCCTTGCCAGCCGGCCTGCGCCTGCGCTCTCCCAGGCGCTGCAGCCCGGGTGCGAACGGTGGGCGGGGCCAGGGCGGGGCCTTGCGCAGACCCGGATGCGGCCCCGCCCCCGCAGAACCGGAAGTGAGCGGGCTGTGTGAGAGCGGCGGGCACGGCGGGAGTGCGGCTGACCGCAAGGACCCCGTGGCGGTGAGCAAGAGCGGCTCTTGCGGCTGGGACGGGGCATCCCCAGCGGGCGGTGGACGCAGCCTCTGGAACGGGAAGGAAGCGACCGTCTCACCGCGCTTCCGCTCGCGGTTTCGAGCAGGGGGGAGAGCAGCTGAGGCTGTCTTGGCCTGCATCTGCACCCGAGGGGTCCGCGGGAAGGCGTTCGCGGGCCCAGGGGGGAGGGGCACGGGGTCCAGGGTGGCCGGATCCCAGGCGCTGGTGGAGTGGGTCAGGCAGCGGCCCCGGGGCGGCGGCGGAGCCAGTGCCAGTGGGTCAGGATTCCGAGGGGGAGGGGCCTGGAGATCGAGGTGTTGGGGTTCCCAGGAACTGGAGGCATAGGCGTGGGGGTGGGGGCTCGTGGGGAAGAGGGTCCACGGCCGCGGGGAAGGACCCTGGGCCGGAGGTGTTCGGGAGCTGAGGGGCTGGGGTGAGTGGACGGGGCGGAGGGGAGAGCCTGGGTCAGAAGGGCTGGGGGGCCAGGGAAGAGGTGGAGGTCGGAGGCGCGCTGTGTGTCCCGGGCCTTAGACTGGAGCTCGGGATCGGCCGTGCGCACCTGAGGCAGGTTTGCAAATGGGGTCAGTGGAAGTGCTGCGGCGCTGGGGAGCTGGAATCTCGAACAGCCCTTCCCTCCTGGGTGTGTGCCAGGGCATCGGAAAGGTGCTTGGGCGTGTTCCGCTTCTGTATTTCCTAGGATGGGAGAGGTCTCGCACCATCCGATCCTCCTCGCCCATCTGGAGGGTTTGGGGTGGGAGGGGACCCGTCGGGGCCCCTTGCGGAGGAGTTTCATTTTCTGGCGGTGCAGCTGAGGTTCTTGCAGGATGTGCTAAGTTTTGTCGTGGTTCGCTGTTCTTTGTCGGGACGTGACCCAGTAGACCCTAACCGCTGAAGCCCGTGGCCATTCTGTCCAGCTGGCCGCTGCATGCTAGGCTAGGATGTGGATTGGGAGGGCCAACTAGTCCCGTTTGTGAACTAGAGTGAGTCACCCGCTCCAGGGCCTTGAGTCAGTGCTCTTTCGCCCTCTGGTTGGAGAAATATTCATTGGAAGAAATTGAAGAAACAAGGAAGCAGCTTCAGTTTTAAGGGACTTTCAGATACTCAGGAGTAAAGAGCTCCGGGATGTAGTTATTTCTTATCAGGTACTCCCCCCCACCCCCAGTAACTGCAAGTTTATCCTCCCTAAGGATGACTTTTTTCCCCTTTAGTACTGGGATTTGAACCTGGGTCCTTAAGCATGCTAGACAACTGCTCTACTACATTTTTTTTTTTTTTTGAGACAGGGTCTTGCTAAGTTGCCCAGACTAGTCTTGAATTTGAAATTCTCCTGCTTCAGCCTCCCTCCTGAGTAGCAGGATTGCAGGCATGTGCCGCTATACCTTGTTGAAAGCTGACTTTTAATTGAGCCTGTTGTCTTTGAAGCATTTTAAATTGTAGTGAACATTCTTACTTTTTTTTTTTTCTTGGTGGAACCAGGGATTGAACTCAGGCCCTTGCGCGTGCCAGGGAAGCGCTTAATCCACTGAGCCATCTCCCCAGGCCCCAATAGTGAACATTCTTGATGAGTCGGACCTTTGACCTACCCTGCGCAGTAGGTGCTCAGAGGGCATGTGATTGAATGCATGCTTCATTGTGAGTGCCTTTCCTTGACCTGGACAGTCTGTGCCAAGCAAAGCTCCTGCTCTCTGCTTAGGCATGGCTCCTCTGAACCCTAAATGTGTGTGCTTCTGGTGAGGCTTCCTCTGAGGGGCCTGGTGACATCTACTTTGGCTCCTCACATTCCTTTTCTTTTCCTTTGACTTTCTTCTGAGTCTCCAAAGCTGACTCTGGATGGGTGCTTTTACCTCATCTCTTACAGCATTCTTTGCTAGCAGAGTTTTCCGCCCTGCTTAGGCAGGGCAGGATTACTTCATCTTTCCACATTCTTCTTTCCTGTGTATGGCATTTGCAAGAGAGATTTAGTATTAGTGGTGTTAGGTGAAGGTCTTCTCTTTGAACAGTAATGTTTTGTAAAAGTTTTATTTATTTATTTTTTTTGTAAAAGTTTTATTGAAGTATAATTTTTTTTTTTTTTTTTTTTTTTTTTGTAATTTAGGTGAGGGTCTACAGGTTGTTCAGGGTCTCACTACTAGATTGGACTGGTGGTGATCCCTCTGTTTACAGCCTCCCAAGAGTTGCGATTACAGGCATGCGCCACTACGCCTAGTTTCATTTGCTGACTCAAGGAGGAATCAGGACCGACCCCCCACCCTCGTGCTTTAATCCCCTGAGCTATTTGGCTGGCCCCTACAGTTCACCCATTGAAAATGTATAATTCAGTGGTTTTCATTATATTCACAGAGTTGTGCAGCTCTCATCACAATCAATTTTGGAACAGTTTCATCAACTCAGGGAGAAACCCTAGCTTGGGTGCCCTTATTATCCCAGCTGCAGGGACAATAGGGTAGAGGATTGCTTGAGCCCAACAGTTCGAGGCCAGCTTCTGCAGGATAGCTAGAGCCTCTCTTTTATTTTTTAAGAAGGAAACCTCATCCCCTAGCCATCATTTCCTAGTCTCCCCTTCCTCTAACCCTGGGCAACCATTAATGTACTGTTGTCTCTATAGATTTGCCAACTCAGACATTTCATATAAATGGAATCCTATTACTATATGTAGTCTTTTGCGTCTGGTTTCATTCGCATTGTGCATGTGTTAGAACTTCATTCCTTTGTATGGATGAGCTGGGTGATGGCTCAGCAGCATAAGTGCTTCCATGGCAAGCGCAAGGTCCCAAGTTTGATCCCCACTACCACAAAAACAAACAAAAAAGACTGACTCTGCCTTGAAGTAAATCAATCAGGAAAGTTACCCTTCGATGTACAAGTCGTCAAGAAAGTGGTCTTGAACCTTTTTATGGATGAATATACTCCGTTTTGTAGATACATCACATGTGTATATGTCAGTTGATGGATATTTGGGTTATTTCTACTTTTTGGCTATGACAAATAATGATGTGAATATTCATGTACAAGTTTTCATATGGACTTATGCTTTCATTTCTCTTGGATATATACTTAGGAATGTCCAAGTGATATTGGACTCTCTGTCATGTGGTAGCTGCTTAACCTCTGGAGGAACTACCTTCTGTATTCCATTCCTATCAGGCCTATAGGAGAATTCTGTCTGTCCTGTCTGTCTGTCTGTCTGTCTGTCTCTGTTTTTGTACAATGTTGGGAATTAAAACCAACAGGGCCTCACATATGCTAAATGTACAATCTACCTCTGAACCGTGTCCCCAGCCCCTCACAGACTCCCCTTAAAAAAACAAAACAAAACAAAAACAAATGGTGTCCTCTCTGTCTTGCCCAGGCTGATCTTGAACTTCAGGCTCATTTGAGTCTCCTGCCTGAGCACTTGAAATGCTGGGCCTCACATGCTCCTGTGCCTGTTTGTTGTTAAATGAGGTGGTTTTTTTTTAAATTGAACTGAAAGAATTCTTCATGTATTCTGGATATATAGTTTGAAAGTAGATTTCTCTGAGTTCCTTTTACTTTCTTAAGTCTTAAGCACAGAGTTTTTATTTATTTATTTTTTTAATTTTTTATTTTTTTGGTGGAACTGGGGATTGAACTCAGGTCCTTGCGCTTGCCAGGGAAGCGCTTATTCCACAGATCCATCTCCCCGGCCCCCCTAAGCACAGAGTTTTAAATTTTGTCCAGTTTGTCTTTTTCTTCTTTGTATTTTTGGTGTTACACTTAAATTATTTATGGCCTCAAAAATTTAACCGATTTAAGATATAACATCTATCTGTTTGTCTATCTGTCTTGTCTGTCTGTCTATCCGTCTATCTATCCATCCTGGGGATTGTACCCAGGGCCTTGTACATGTTAGGTAAATGCTGTACCAGTGAGCTACATCCCCAGCCCTGGTACATTTTTGAATTAACTTTTGTGTGTGATATGAGGTAGAGATCCAGAGTCCTTAACTTTGAATATAAAAAAGCCCAAAACAAACAAACAAACAAAAACTGGTTTATTTTTCAGTCAGTTAAAATTTGTGAGTTTTATTTTATTTTGTGAGCTTTAAAAAAAACATAATGCTTTTTTTTTTTTGCGGTACCCGGGATTGAATTCAGGGCCTTGCCCTTGCCAGGGAAGCGCTTATTCTACTGAGACATCTCCCCGGCCCCTTCTTTTTTTCACTTGCTCCTTGGGTAGAATGTTGAGAATGCTTCCTGATTACACTTACAATTGCAGTAGCCAGAGTGTGCTACACAGTCAGTAGCAGTCAGGATCACCAGCAGGGACTGAGGAAAGAGAAGGGTCAGGACCTAGGTAAGAAAATAAAAAGGACTGAAGAGGCCAGCTGGGCACCACCCTGTAGTTCCTGGTAAGCAGAAGCTGCATGCTGACTTCAAGTGGCTCTGCCTGTGACCTGATGGTCACTAGGGCACAAGGGACTTCATTCTTGCAGTGTGTCACATGTAGCAGCATGGTGTCCATTGAGTCTGTTGTGGTCTTGGGAAGAAGTTGTGTGTCGGTGGCTTGGCCAGCATGTGGGAGAGAGGTCCTGTTCCCTGTTCAGTAACTGTCCATGATCTCTGGGAAGGGACGCAGCTTGCTTCCACTTGGCTCTGTCACGGCACACGTTGCTGGTGTGATAGGCACCGCCTCAGCACTGGCTTTTCCTCCCAGGCACATCGGGAGTCCCTTCAAAGAATGTTTTCCTTCAATTGCAAAAACTACAATAATAGAACTTATTGTTCTTAGCAACATTATAAATTAGAATAAAAAATGGAAACTTACCAAGATTATGGCAAGCAGGGGGTGTATACTAGCAACTGAGGCAGTAATTTCTGTTTTTATTAAGAAATGCTGTGTAGTTAGAAGTCTTGTGAGATATCTTGTTTCTTTGAAATTAAAAAAAAATTATGTTTGCTGTACACAATGATTACATTCTTCATGGGAAGTTGGTACATGCAGGTAACACATCTTAATTCTTTTCACTACCCCTCCCCCCCAAAAAAATTCTTTAGTTCCTCTGTGTTGAGCTTTTTTTTTTTTTTTTTTCCCCCCAGAACCAGAGATTGAACTCAGACCCTTGTGCTTGCCAGGGAAGCACTTATTCTACTGAGCCATCTCCCTGGCCCCAAGCTTTTTTTTTGTCTTTTTGAGATAGTCTCCTTATGCAGTTCAGGCTGACCTTGAGCTCACTTTGTAGCCCAAGCTAGTCTCAAACTTGTAGTCTTCCTGCTTCAGCCTCCCAAGTGCAGGGATTACAGGTGTACACCACCACCACACCTGCTTGTGTTGAGCTTTCTAATAATGAAGGTGTTTTTATCTTCCCATCAGAATTCTCTACATAACCTTTTTATGCTGAGGAGGAGTCTCTGGAAGTAGTCTTAAGAAGCTCTCCCCGCATAGATTTGCCCAGGGTCTGGCAGCAGACATCCTTTTTCACCCTTAATCTTTTTTGTTTTGTATTTTAGGGAAGGGTCTACAGGGGGTTCAGGGTCTCACTACTAGATCGGACTCATTGTGATCCGCCTGTTTATAGCCTCCCAAGAGCTGGGGTTCCAGGCGTGCGCCACCAAGCCCAGTCTCAGTTGCCTCTCAGCATGCCCTGACGGCGGGGCCAGCATGGCAGGCCCTGGGATGAACCCCTGGCCCCGATGCCTGCTTGCAGGCGCTTTAATCCGCTGAGCTATTTGGCTGGCCCTTCACCCTTAATCTTTTTGTACATTCCAAAATGCCTGGACATTTCTCCTTGGATTATTGTGTTTTAAGTAGTTTTATGAGCAGTCTTTCATCACTTAGAAAGAAAAGAGTTGTACATTGTGAGCATTTTAATGCTGTTTTCTCTGAATGGTAAGGATGAAAACATTTTTACTGAAAAGGAATGGGAAGTTGAAAGAAGTACAATTGTTCTCTGAAAGAAATTTCAGTGTTCAAAAACAAAAACCAAGGGCTAAGAATGTGACTTAGTGGTTGAGTGTTCCTCTAACATGTACAAGGCCCCGGATTTTAGCCTCGGCACTAAAAAAAAGTTAAAACCAGGTCAGGTTGGGCATGCTGGCACATGCTTGTAATCCCAGCATTCAGGGGGCTGAGGCAGGAGGATCACTGTGAGCTCAAGGCCAGCCTGGGTTACATAGTGAGTTCAAGGCCACCCTGGACTATGTAGCAAGACCCTGTCTCAGAAAAATTTAAACCACCAGCCAACCAAACTAAAGTCAAATTTCTAGTATTGCCTCTATCTTAGAAAAGGTAATTGTAGAAAGCTCTGGAATTTGGGGTAGGAGGCATTGCTCAGACAAGCCATTCCTCTCCTTTCCTTGTGTTCTACTCCATATGGCAGGAACCACCAAGCCTAATGTTATAAAGCTGTTGGAAGGACTACCACCCACCCACCCCAACCCCCACTTGTGAAGCTGGTTTCCAGAAAGATCAGCTTAATGCACCACACTTTTCCCTGATGAATCTGAAAAAGAGGCATGCAGCTGCCTTTATCTTTGACTTGGAAGTGAACATCAGTTGGGTTAGCCCCACAGGGACTCTTGTCCTTCTTCCTCCAGTCCCTAAAACTATGGTCCCTGGAATTTTACCTGTGTTGCCCAGGGCAGGAGAAAGGCCCTGGGCATAGTGTAACTTTTCATTTGTGAATGGATGATTGGGTCCAGGCTGTCTGGTCAAGCCTCCCAGTGCTAAAGCTTGTTCAAGACTGCTCTTTAAAATCTGCCAAAAGTAAATCACATCTGGGAAAATCTTTTTTGGGGAACTGGGAGGCTCTATACAATGGCTTTGTTTATTCTTATTAATTTTACTGATACAGTTTAGATATACATAACCATTACATTCATCATAGGGGATTTGGACATGAACATAGTACATCTAGATTCTTTTCCCATTCCCTTCCCTTCAACCCTTACTCCCCTCCTTATCTGTTATGTATTATAGATTTAGTCCTTTGTGTAAGGAACAATTGGTTAAAATTCTTTTCCACTCTAAGTCCTTTTTACTCTGTTCATGATTTCTTTTGGTTTGCAAAAGCCTTTTAGTAAGATGAGATCCCAGTTGCTGACTCTCTGTAGTATTTTCCATGTGATTGGGGTCTTGTTCATAAAGTCTTTGCCTATACTTGTGTCTTCAAGAGTTCTGCCTAGGGCTGGGGAGATAGCTCAGTGCCATAAGTGCCTGCTGAAGGCAGTAACTCAAGATCCAGAGTTTGATCCCTGGTACCACAACAGATAAAATAAAGAGTTCTACTTATTCCCTTTTCACGCAGATTTAGTGTTTCTGTTTTAATATTTAGATCTTTGATCCTTTTTTTTTTTTTTTTTTTTTGGCAGAACCAGGGATTGAACTCAGGCAAGTGCTTATTCTACTGAGCTATCTCCCCGCCCCCCCATTTTGGTTTTAACATCTGGAAAATTCTTGCCATGTTTGGGGGATTTAGAGGAGGTTTGAAATGTTTTCAGTTGAGGGGCATTTTAGGTCCTGCCCACCTGGTGGCAGATGGTTCTTTACTTAGAGGAAGTGGCAGGAAATGGGGAGCCATACTCCATCATCACTCTCATTGACATGAGATGTGGCCTTTAGACTTGGGAGAGCTGAATGGGTAGCTGTAGAAGGAAAGTACTCAAGCCAGCATGGGCTTTTGTCCAGGGCACACAAACCACAGAGCTCACGTGGAGCTGGAGGAAGGAGAGTTGGATGTTCTCAGGTCAGACCTGGGCACAGTTTTGGTTGGTTGAATTAAAATAATCTGTCAGTTACTTCAGAGCTTCAGTGAAATTTTATTACTGTTTTTATTCTCTGTGGAAAATGCATCCATTCTTTTTTTTTTTTTTGTCTTTATATTTTTATTTTTATTTTTTCCCCATAATTTTATTGATAAATAGCAATGAGACAGTTTCAAATCAAATTGGTAAGACAGTTTCAGTAATTAACACTGCATCCATTCTTTATGTACAATTTCTTTAAAGGTTTAAAATTATAAACATAATATCTTATTGATGTCTACAGGTGTGTCATTGTTCTCTATAACATACCAAACCTTAGAGTCTCTCTCTTTTTTTTTTTTTTGCGGAACCGGGGATTGAACTCAGGCCCTTGGGCTTACCAGGAAAACGCTTATTCCATTGAGCCATCTCTCCAGCCCCAAACCTTAGAGTCTTAAAGTGCTGTGGATAAAGGTGACTGCTTTTTAAGCGTCCTAACAGAAGAACTGCCTTTTTTTTTTTTTTTTTTTAATGTATTTGGTATAGAGTCTTGCTGTGCAGCTCAGACTCTAGTGATCCTCCTGTTTCACCCTCCCCAGCACTGGGATTACAGGTGTGTGCCGCCATTCCCGGTTTCAGTGGCCTGCACAGCATGTCTGGGGCAGGGCTGGCGTGGCATGTGGTACTGGGATCAAACCTGTGTCCCTGTACTTGCCAGCAGACGCTCAGACTGTTGATCTATCTCCCTGGCCCAGAGCTGGAATTTTACTGCTGTGCATTTTCCCCAAAACACGACAAGGCAGCCCTCTACTAAATTATTTGAAACATTCATTAAATCATTAAAAGATGATCATTGTTACATTTCCAGAAAGTACTTGAAATAAGAGTGCTTTTTAAAAAAAGATTTGTAATAATAATAAATGGAGCTCTTACTACTACGTTTCTTTTATCCCTACAATTGTCATTTAGTTTAGTGATGATGAAGGGCATTGGTCGTATAGCTCCTGCTCTCCACTGGTAGTTTGGGCCCTGAGAGTGACAGTCCTTACTCTGTAACTTCGGTGCTGCTCTTACAGATGTGGAAAGCATCAGCAGGCCACGCTGTGTCCATCACCCAGGACGACGGGGGAGCTGATGACTGGGAGACCGACCCGGATTTTGTGGTAGGAGTCACCACAAAAAGCCTGTGCTTTGTATTTTTTTGGAAGTGATTTTTCTGTGTTTTGTTCATTTGGGCTATGCATGATCCCAGGAATGAGGTTTACTAGTTATTTTTCTTTTCAGAATGATGTGAGTGAGAAGGAACAAAGATGGGGCGCCAAAACCGTGCAGGGGTCTGGGCACCAGGAGCACATCAAGTAAGAGCCTTTGTGATGCTGTTGTGAATGGGGCCCTCCCTCTGCATACTCTCACCAGTGGGTTCCCTGCAGGACGGGAGCAAGTCACAACAAGGGACGTCTAGTTCTCATGCCTGAGAGCTGCAGTCAGTCAGGTGTCAGAGTTGCTTTCGCTTATTGTATATTGACCTGATGTTCGTACAACAGATGAATGAATATGAGACATGACACCTATGTTTAATGCATGTTTTTATGTCTGTGTACTTACATGTGTAGACACCCACCAATTTAAAATCTCTGTGGACAGTTTCCTCACTTATAATTCTGGAGCGTCTGCTTTTGCATTGCATATTGTGATTTTCATGTTATTCTTTCTCCAAGTGGGAGGCTTCCTAAGTGTGAGATGTCATTGGATAACTTAGGCCTTAAACATTCTTCTCCTTTAAGTGGCTGCCTCCACAAAGCTGTCAGCCTCAGGTTGCTGGAGTTCGAACCTCACAACTCTCCGGCTGGCCAAAAGTGCCCTGAAGGCATTCGAGGAACAAAACAAAACATTCTTCTCCTTTTTATTATCTGAAAATTATGATCCCAGGAGTGGGGTTGCAGAATTTAGTAGCTGGGGAGTGTAATCTGAATTCCAGGCTCTGTGAAGAGCCTAGAACAGGAGACAGTGAACTGTGTCCTTGTTTCTGACCTGGCACTATCGGAAATGCCAGCTCTGGGCAGCTTGTTTTCTCATCAGGAAGTGTTGATAAAAGGGCCTTTACAAACACACCCAGAGGTTGGTTTTAGGCCATACTCTGGTTGGGGTTTGTTCTCTCTGTCCTGTGTTGTAAAGGCAGCATTCTTGACCTGGTGACCTGCTTTGGTGCATGGGAAAGGCCTTCACCACAGTGTCTGGCAGAAGATTCAGTAAATCACCTGGAACAACAGAGTCTGCATGGTGACATTTTAGAATATCAGGGTTTTTTTTTTTTTTTTTTTTTTTTTTTTTATGAAATAGGCTCTTACCATGTTGCTCAGCCTTATGTCACACTCCTAGACTCAAATGATCTTCCCACGTGGGAACTCTTTAGACTTGAGTATTAGTCTCTTCTGGGCTTACACAGCCCAAACCTTCCACAGAAGTGCCTTGAGAAGCCAAAAGGCCTGGGGCAGGATAGGAGAGGGCATGGAATGGGTACTGGCAGGAGCCTTGGGCTGTTTACCATGGGGTTAGCAAAACCCCCCTGAGTTGGTTAGGTCATCTGGACCTCTCCAGTCTTCTGTACCTTGTGGCACCTAAACCTGTCAGGCAGGGAGTATGGACGGAGAGTGCATAGGACTGTCTGGGACGGCAGCTTCTGTATGGATTAGGATTCCATGAGAGAAAATGTGGGGATAGAGAAGGTCTTGGCACCCTGGGACCCTTCCCAGAGTTTTTAGGAGTGGGATCTTCTTCCCTTGCTCATAGGGGGTCAGATAGTTTTCAGGCCTGGTGTGTATTTTATCCACCCTCTTAGGATTATTGTCTTTCTGTTGAAGGTATAGGTCTTGTGTCTTCTGGGCAGAAGGGTTCCATGCCCCCATGCCCAGGTGGCTGTTGTGCTGCTCTGGAGCCTCATAGTGACAACTCCTTCCTGGTCTTTCAGCTTTTGATCTGCTAAATTTTTATTACTAGATCTTGTGATCTGCTTCCTGCTCTTCTGTATTTATGATGAAAAATGGCTTTTAGATGGTAAATTCTAAATGTCTCTATTTATTTATTTTTTTTGGTACTGGTAATCAGACTCAAGCCCTTGGGCTTGGCAGGCAGGCACTGTGCCATTGAGCTTTATCCCTGACACATTCATTTTATCTGAAGGTATAAAATGTTGAGTACTTCAAGTAAAGACAAAAGCAGTATAAGGCATCCTTGGTGGCCTTGGGGATCTGAAGGAAGGGACTTTTGACTTTATTCTGCCCTGTGCCTCCTGATGGCATTTGCAGGACTTGTGCTTCTAACCCATTTGTCTACTAAAATGAGCAGCCTTTCTCCCAATGAAGGGGAGTTCAAGTTTTAGTTGGGTTCCTTTGTGGGGAGTTGGATGGGGCCATAGTGTGCATTCCGAACAGCGTTCCTCCTCTCATACATTTCCGCCTGAGAACCGCTGAGGTGGGTGCTCCAGCTGGCAGGACAGTAAGGAACATATGTTGATGCAGCAATTGGCGAGCACCAAAAAAGGAAAGCTTTCAAGTTTGCAAAGGTGATACTGCCTGTCTCTGTGTATCCCACTGCAAAGCAAGGACACATCCATTTTAATTTTTTTTTCTCATTTTTCTCTCTCTCCTCAAGCATACACAAGCTAAGAGAGAATGTCTTTCAAGAACATCAAACTCTCAAGGAGAAGGAGCTTGAAACAGGACCAAAAGCCTCCCATGGCTATGGAGGGAAATTCGGTGTGGAACAAGACAGGATGGATAAAGTAAGTGGGCGCTGGCTGGCTGTGCTGGGCCCTGGCTGCGTGGGCTGCCTATGGTGGGCGAACTAGTCCCTCACGTTTTTCCCTAGATTAAATGTGTCGAGTTGGTTTGATGGGGGTAAAATCTGCTCAGAGCAGTCCTCTGTCGATTGAAGCCGCTCACAAAGCTCTCCTGCTTTTCTGGAGGTGATTTTGAAGTTCTGAGAGCTGCTAGTAGTTGGTGCTGTGTAGAGAGCCCCAGAGGGAAATTATCTCAGCTCTATAAGTGGTAGAAAGCCCAGAAGCTACTGGACGGCAGATGTCCTGTTCACCACTGCCTGCGTTCCAGCTTGTGCCCTGAGGTGTACCACTCACAAAACTGAATCTGGGGGCCCCCTTGTCACATCATTCACGTCAGCATGTAGCTGACGTCCCACATCCCTTGGCCTCTCTGTATAATCATTACTCTGGAAGTTGCTGATAAGTGTAGCCATTTTTACAGCACTGCAGGCTTTTGTGCCTGAGGGCAGTCAAGTGTTGGCTCAGGAGGGCTGGCTGATTTCTCATTGGAGAGAAAATGGCTCAGGTAGCAGCGCGTTCGCATGTCTGCAGTAAAGCAGGTCTGACTTCTGCAGAAACCGTTGCCACAGTGAATTTCCAGCTCTAAGCACCATGGGATTGTTCTGATCAGACAGGTGTTGCTTCCACTGTGGGCAACAGTGAAGGGATCAGTCGGGGTCAGATTCTAGTGGGTAATTCCATACCTCTCCTCTTGCATGGATCGAATTAAACATCTGAGCTGGGCATGGAGTGACAAAGCTGTGTCAGAGTGAACCACACATCATTCCACCAGCAGAGCAGAATGAGGGGTGGGGAGTGGGGCTGGAAGCTCCTCAACCACATCCAGAAATAGCCTGGAGCTGGAGGCTGACTAGGTGCTGCTATCTGCAGGAAAGAGAATGGACATTTGCTGTGTCACTTCCACAGAGCTGTCCTGATGTTGAAATGGGTAGTGTGTGGAAAAGAATTCCCTGGGGGCTCTGAATACAAGTCCAGTAGCTTGTCAGAGCAGCAGAGCAAAGCAGCTGACAAAACCCTGCTTCACCTTTCTCCCTTGAAACTGTGCTTATGCTCACTGGGCTCTTAGTGAGTTAGTGCAGAGAGAGGCTGATCATGGAAGCTGGGCACTGCGTAGGAGTTAGGAGATGGATTACACATTAGGGAAAGGGATGACAGTCTATCCAGGAAGAATTTGCTTCAAAATGTGTTGGTTTCTGGCTTCTCTGCTCTCCTCAGGCTGTACCTCTTGTTGGCCTGAATCTTGCTCAGCTTTGAGCCTGCAGTTTTGGCCTTTTCTAGCCCAGAGCCTCTCTAAAGGGCCCATCTCTTTCTTGTGCCCCACCTCTCACCCTGGGACCCATTTCTCCCTCAGGCTGGCCTTGGCATCCCCCTGTCAGCTGTTGTTGCTATGTTGTGTGGTTTGCAGTGAGACTCTCCTCTGGCCTGGGCTCTCCAGGGCCAGCACTCACTGTTCTTACATGTGGCTGGCTTGGTGTTGTGCGGGGTGCTCAGGGCTGTGTGATGAGTGTGTAGTCATGCTTTGTGGCTGACACACACACACAGGGTCCTGCCAGCTCCAAGAATCACTCGCTCACCTCTGAGTGAGGCTGATCCAATCCTGCAGCAATGGACCTGATAAGGGGTGCTGCTGCCGCTGCCGCCGCCCCATCCTTTTGGCTTCTGGGCCTGGGTGTTGAGGAACACTCAACTTTCAGCTCACATGAGCATTATGAGACCAGCCTGTTTTCAGGAAGAACTGACAGTAAACCTGGGGATAAGTGCTTAAGCTCTTTTTCCTCTCCAGAAATAGAAAAAATAATAGTAAGGTCTTTGTACAAAGAGTTGAGGAACTTGTGACAGACACTGCCAGGACGAGCTGTTGGGGTTCTCATTGTGCCATTGTCTGAGTGCATGGCCCCCTTCTCCTGGGGTTGAGATGGCAGTGGTCTCCTGGGGGCTTCCTGTTTCCCTGGTCTCTGCTGCTTCCTGTACCCAAGTCTTCATGACAGAGCACCTTCTGCACAGCTGCCAAATAGCAACTGTGATTCTGCCAATAGAGAAGGGTAAAGGTGCTTTGGGGAGCATATCTGTTTCGGTCAGAAAGCGGTAACGATTGCCAAACATGGTCATCCTGGCCATATTTTCAGAACCATTTTCTTGTAACTTTCTGATTAAAAGTCGTGCTGAAGAATCCCTTTGTTGTAGCTGCCTCTTACCATTCTCTCATGCTCATTTTCTGGTTGTGATCCTAGTGGCCTGGATGGCCATGTTATGGTTTGTGTTTAGATGTCCCCTAGAGCCTCATGCAGTCATGTAGAGTATTTTTGGAGGTGACTGACTATAGTGTAATGCTGGGATTGAGTGTGTGTGACCAGTTTGCTGGTTGGGTTGGCACTGTGCTAGGCCCCAGCAGCCTAAGTAAAGTATAGAAAGGGCAGAAAGGTGCTGTTGAGGCTGCTTGCTTGCTTTTGCTGTCTTCTGCTGCCATATGCCCTTCTGCTGTGTGCCGCCCTTCCTTGGAGCCAGCTCTGGACTGAAACTTCTACAAACTGTGAGCTATACAAACTTTTCTTCCTTTAACTTTTTGGTGACAGGTATTTTGTCTCAATGACAAGAAAAAAACTAAGTCCTTCTGCCATGTTTGGGGGTCCACAGCTTTTGGCCCGCCCAGCACCTCAGTATGAGCTGAGGAAGGATAGATGGTCACAGCTCCAAAGGCTTTCTTCATCTGGTTGGGTGGACACTGAGGTGTCTGCTGAGCATCACTGATGTGTGTTGAACACTGCCTGAGTTAGAGGCCACACCCAGCATCTGCCGCATAAACCGACTAACCCAGGGAGAGCCGTGGTGCGCACTAGCAGCTGAGTTCAGGGCATGTACCAGTGGGGAGAGGGATATGTGTTGGATGTATATGGGTCCTACCATACCTCTCACTGGGTCACCTGTCTTCACCCTTGAAGGGGTCCCTGGGGCACCATCCACTGTGGAGACAGCAGTGGAAGCCCGGGCCTTACTGTGCTTTGTGTGGGGAGCTGTTGGGACCAGGGCAGCATTATGGTCACGGCCTGCCGAGGCTGCTGCACTAGGCGGAAGACTCGTAGACACAGCCAGAGACACTGTGCGTGAGAAGACACAGCTGAGTTCCTGAGGGTGTCATTGCGGGAGGGGGCTGCTCTTCAGGCAGGGGTTTGCAGGCCCCAAGGTGGGAAGCATGCTTTTATAAAACCCCAGGCTATGCTTCCTTACTTAATCGCTGGCGTATGTGTTACATACAGAAGATGACTGAACTTGTGATCCCCTTTAGACAGGGGCTGACAGTGTTGATGGCTCTGGAGTGAGCCAGTTTGGGTGACAGTAGTTGGCACCCTACTTACATGGCATGTGTACTTAGTTGGTGATTCAGAGTCTTTGTTATTACTAAAATACACCTTTTTATGTTTCAGTGTGTTGGCAGAATAAATATTTTTTTGTCCAGATTTGTTCATACAGTATGAAAAACCCTTATTCTGTTAATAGAATAAGTATATTGCCAGCAATCTCCATGTAAATAGATGCCATGGATTATGTTGTCAGCTGCCAGCTTTGTCCTTTTCTCATGCCCCATCACACCCAAAGCTCCTCTCTGCGGCAGGGGTTGTGGTCTGGGAGTCTTGGCGCTGCAGTGGCGGAGCCCTGCACCACAGACTTGACAGCTGGAGCTGAGGCTCTTTCCAGGAGTCAGCCCTGTGTCTGTGCTGGTGTTGGTTGCATGGAAGAAATGGAAATCCTATGCCTGGTTGTTAATGTTGCACTCGGCTTGTGTGTGTGATACTTTATTTTTGGACTCTATTCTAGTCAGCTGTGGGCCACGAGTATCAGTCGAAGCTTTCTAAGCACTGCTCTCAAGTCGACTCTGTCCGGGGTTTTGGAGGCAAGTTTGGTGTCCAGATGGACAGAGTGGACCAGGTGAGTGATGGTCACAGGAAGTGGCCCTGCTGTTTGCTGATCACACTGCTGTCCACACCAGTGTGCTGGTGCTGTGTGTGGCCTTTGGGCTACTTGCAGCACCTGCTGGGAGGCCTGCCTAGACAGGAGTTGGCAGGCCTCAGCCCCTGGGGTGCTCTGAGGAAGCAGGGTGGTAACATGTAAAGAAAGGCCTGTGTTGTGTTGGCTTAGAGGTCTCTGTGTTGCTGATGACTTACCAGATGGACTGAGGTCTTTCTCTAAGTGCCCTCAGTGTAGGACACCCTTAGATTTATTGTCTAACAATGTGCCGGTGGGGACCATTCTCACCTGTTTCCTTTCACATATGTCCCTTTGGCAAGTGCTGCTCAGAGTTTTTCCTTTGGAGCATGGGACCCACATTTCCTGGGCTGCGTGCTGGGTCCAGATGTTCTGGCAGGTTCAGGCGTGCGCCTGTTCTAATTCTCTTTGGGTCAGGGCTGTCAGCTCCTTTATTTTGTAGCATGGCAGGCAGGAGCCTGGCTTTGGGCAGACTGAGGTCTGTGTTCCAACTTTTTGAAATCCTAGCTGTCCATAAAATGGGAATCATGCTAATCCCTAGCTCATGGGGCTGTGTGGGAAGCAGGGCAGATACTGTGTGCCCAGATGTGCTCACCATGGTGTCTGGCTCCTGCTGCTGCTGCTGTTATTAGCATTCATTTTGTTCTTAGGATAGCTTATTTGAAGAATGTGTTTCTATGTGGCACAGGGAATTGTTTCAGATTGGGATTATGTGGCTAAAATACATTAGCTGAGCATGATCTGCAGCAGTATGCTGGGAGGAGGCCACGTTGCCCTGGGTACAGCTTGACTGTGGAGCTCATCCGACTGCAAAAGTACTTTTTCTTTTAGCACCACTGAGGACTGAACCAAGAGCCTCACACATTCTAGGCCAGCGCTCAGCTGCTGAGCTGCAGTCCCAGCCCTTTCAATTTTCATTTTATTTGTTTATTCTTTTTTTTGCGGAACTGGGGATTAAACTCAGGCCCTTGTGCTTGCCAGGGAAGCACTTTTTCTACTGAGCC